GCAAAAGCTCCCCATGAAGTGCCGGTAATGGAACGAAGGAAATTGATTCGTTGTTGGCATCTCTGCCTCAGATACGCTATGTGTTTTCCCCAAGTGCTTGGAATCGAACCAGACACCTAAATACTTAAACGACATGCTGTGAGTGATTGTTCTACCCATAAGTTGAAGCTGAAACTGTGCTGGATAAAGCTTCCTAGAAAAAACAACCATCTCTGTTTTCTCCGGAGAGAATTCGATACCCAGATTCATTGCCCAAGTAGACAAATTATCCAAGGTATCTTGCAATGGTCCTTGCAGGTCCGGTGCTGTTGGTCCAACCATGGAAACCACACCGTCATCTGCAAGCTGCCTTAGCGTGCAATTTTCGGCCAGACATTCATCAATGTCTTTAACATAGAAATTGTACAGGAGGGGACTTAAACATGAGCCTTGTGGAAGACCCATGTAGCTGATTCGTGCAATTTCCGTGTTGCCATGAGAGAAGCTCATTCGTTTCTCGACCAACAAATTAAACAGGAAATTGTTGATAATCGGAGAAAGCCCACTCGCATGGAGTTTGTCCGAAAGGATGTCGATGCAAACAGAATCAAACGCCCCTTTAATGTCCAAGAAAACTGAACCCATCTGCTGTTTTTCAGCATAGGCTAATTGGATTTCAGTTGAAAGCAACGCAAGGCAGTCGTTCGTCCCTTTGCCGCTACGGAATCCAAATTGCGTATCTGAGAGTAAGCCATTCGCCTCGACCCACTTGTCCAGACGAAGAAGAATCATTTTTTTCTAACAGCTTCCGAATACACGACAGCATCGCGATGGGACGGTACGAATTATGATCCGACGCGGGTTTACCGGGCTTCTGGATGGCGATAACTCTCAGTTGTCTTCAATCATCCGGAACAACGTTGAGCTCAAGGAATCGATTGAATAAGTTCAACAATCGCTTCTTTGTGACTTTTGGGAGGTTCTTGAGCAGGTTAAACTTGATTCGATCAATTCCCGGAGCCGAGTTATTGCATGAAAGAAGAGCAATTGAGAATTCTACCATCGAAAACGGAGAGTCCATGTCATCGTTTTCCAGCGGCGGATCGCGAGTGTTGCATCGAACCGGAACCGAATCGGGACAAGCCTTACGCGCGAAGTCGAAAATCCACTTGTTATAGTACTCCTTGTCCTCGTTGACCGACGATGCCGCGTTACGCTTGGAGACGGTTGGTGTATTGCCAGCGTTGCTGGCTCATTCCGCAAATTTCAGGTGATGTGTAATTCCCATCGATGAGCTTCTTCTCGCTAATGAACTAGATGTGATAGTATCACACTTGTTACTCCTTTGTTTGAAAGCCGCGTTGTAGTACGCTTACGTATAGGCACTAACGTTGGGTGCGATACTGGCGGGTTTTTCCGCAAATCACTCTTATTTTGCAAGGGAATTATACTATTGAAATATTTCAGAAAGTGCCCAACAGTGTTCCATCTATTTGCGTGACAAGCTTTTATTGTTGTTTTCATTGAAGTATTACTCAGGGAACAATGTTAAACACCATTTTTGTACATGGTTTTGTAACTAATCTTATATGTGCTTCATTTTGATTTGGGATAAATGTTTGAACTATGGCTTGGGATTTCTACTGTGGCGGGCTTCTATTGTGACATACCCATACGTATTTTTGTGGTGCGACATATTGAAAGCGTGTGAGCATAGTTGGAGCATATACCCTATATAATTTAAAAATCAGCTAGGAAACTAACTTCAAAATGAAACATTCGAACTAAGATATAATAAATAGGTATAGGTCAAAGCCAGAAGTACTTGAAACACGTTTAATTTTAGATTACAAGCACAAGTGCAGGTACTTACTAAAGCATGGGCTATGATTGATTAGGTGAATTAGAGCTTTTAATAATTTATTAAATTAGACTAATGAGATATCATAATCATCAAATGAACTTAAATAAGAAACTTCAGAAAGTCTAATGACATTAAGTAGTTTAACAAAAGAATTAGGATGCGGGGGGTCCGCTTAGGGAGGCAACTAACCTTTAAAGGTGTATAATAAACCTTCTTATTTAGTCTTGAACTTCAATAAGAAAACGCAAACAGACCAATAGCATTGAGCAAATTAACAAGGAGTTATGTGACTATTCATAACTTTTAATCTTTTATAGATATTGTTTTCCCCTGAGTTAATTGTACTCGATTACTATATTATTCTCTCAATACGTGAAATCTCTGATATATGCGGTTAAAGCATTTGAGTTAACTTATTTCTTTTTGTTCGCGTACTTACTTTTGAAAACAGTAGTCAACGTTAATCTATGCACTCAAAGCGCCTACGTCTACGGAGCTTACGCTGAAGTAATTCGCAATTCGCAATAGAGCTTGTCAAACGCTTTTGAGCTTATGTAGTATAGAATTTGTTCGGTATGGTCGCGAAATCTTGAAATGATTGATACGTCCATTATATTAACTAATTTGATACAAAGCTAAGTAGTAAGTATGTTAAAGGTAGATAAGGGAGGAAAACAAAATTAATCAACTTGCAAACATAGGCTATCACATTTATTTTGGTGGCACTCTTCAAATGATAATAAGCCTTTTTTCTCGCTTCGGTTGTCTCGCACGGCTTTCGGAATTCGCGCGGTTTTCGTAACTATTATGTAAGTTATTTCGTAACTATTATGTAAGATATTTCGTTCGAAACGGATTTACTTATTCAATCTGATTGCTACGCGCACACGTCACAGCATTTTTTCTATAATTATCTTGAAACAATACACATGGAATCCAGTGTTCAAGCTGCCATCATAAGCTAGTCCTTCTGCAGTATTGTCAAAGATAGAAGCAAGATTTATTCAAATGGGTCAAGTCTTGAAAACAGAGCTGTCACTCAGCTCCAGCTTGACAACCAATAACAAAAATTATGCACTGCATAGATATAAGAATTATTATTTATTTGATCCACTGATCCTTTAATACTAAAGTACATGAAATACTGTAAATTTTAATTTTATTGTATAGGTTAAGACTTGTGCGGATTGGTACATCTGGGCCTCGAAGGTTTTTTTTAGAAACTTCAATGTTGCTAATAATTTCTGCAGAAAACTTTACAGTATCTAAGAAGGGGGGCGCTTGTTCGGAACTTTGTTGCGGCCATGTTTGCAACGCCTGGAGTTCCTAAGAAGTGCTTAGGGGTGCTTTTTGGGACTTTTTTGAACTTGAAGTTGCTAAGAGTACTCGATTCTTTTTTGATCCTGAAGTCCCTCGTGTGCTTTATTTAGCTTCTCAATGTGTTTCGCTGTGAGATCCTTACTCTCGTAACTATTTCGAAACTTAGGCAAATGAAATATCAACTACTACGAAACGTACCACAATGAAACTGTTACTCCACGTTTGCTGTACTGCAGCATATATAAAGTTGCAATGTCAGGTGAAATGGGGCATTCAGTTCCGAGATGTGTGTAATTTAAAATTAGAAGTGGAAATGCATGTATAGCCTACGTGGTGGCCATTTCTGGACCCTACAAGGAATCACCTTAAGCAGCCAGAAAGTTCTGTTGGAACATTATATGAACTTTATGGAAATCCACTTGAAAGATTTTATCGTGGAATGCGGAATTGTTGGTTGCTTGGGGAGAATACTCGATTATGTTTTTACGTGATTTTATTTGTTTTGATTTTGCCTTCATGCAGGATGGGTACATAATTTACAAGTACAAGTACAAGCGTAACATTTGGTTGCAATTTGAGAGCACACGATAAAAAAAAGAACAGAGATGGAAAAACAATTGCGTAAAAACATAATTGTGTGTAGGGTAGAGAACTACTTCAGCCTAATCGCTCATTTTGGGAATATCGAGTAGAAAACCTCAAATAAATCCATGATTTCAGCGTTAACAAGTCAATTATGCGTTTGGTACGATTATTTAGATCCAAAGCTTCCGGACGAAGTCAATTAAAACGAGTGATATGAATGTTTGAATGCGATTCAATGGCATTTTAATGCTGAATTTAGCATCCGTAGACCGAGTTTGGGGTCAATAAGCAGTGTTAGATTTTTACAAATATTTCAACAATTAGTTACTCTTCATTAAATCTACGTACCGTATATTTAGAAGTCATCTGCAGCGAAAACATTCCATGCAAAAATCCGCTAGAATAATAAAGATGAAGAGCGGGTTGTGCTTAGTAGGCCCAACATAAGATCTAAGCCCTGTTATAAAAAAAAACATTTTTTTTGTGAGTTGATTCGAGGGAATGCCAACTTTGGGTTTGGCGAAAATTTTGGATATATTTTTTCAATATTATAAGAAACCCTAAATTATGGGCCTTCCGTGGGTCAAAACTTAAATGTGAACACAATTAACACAAAACATAAAAATAGTATTAATTAAAACTAATTTGACCTGATAACACTAATAAACAAAATAATAACGAACTGATTTCAAGTATTACACTTTGAAATATACATCTGGGACCCATTATTCGAGCAGAACATATGGTTTTCTGAAGTAAATTTTTCGATTATTGGCATACGGAGGAAGCATTTTGAACCGGTGCAATCTTCTTATAATAGCTCTGGTGAATCGGAGTGCCTCAATGCCCCACATGCCAGAATGTTACAAATCTTGTCGATTACAGACGGGTGTACCATCTTTGCATACCACCCTTCATACGGTTTCCGAACAATTGTTTATGTTGAAGAAAAAAGCAAACAAAATCAAAAAGCAAACACACGTTCCTGGCTCAATGAACACCAAAAACCGGACGGCCTTAAAAAAAACCGATTCGATGGCTTTTATCGCTTGTGAAACAATTTTCTTTCGCTCGATATGACCAAAAACGAGCAATAAGCTTAAATTATGCATTTATTGTTATTAGCCTGGCTGTATGTGTGTTCAAGACGCCCTTTCCAAGTTCGGTGAATGAATGGATTGTTTAAATGCTCGAAAAGTGTAAATAATATAAATTAAATTTTTTCCCTCCCCGTCGGTTTTTTTTTTTGCAGCGGCCGTGCACATGTCAGCGAAAGAAGAAACGGTGCTACTGCTTTCGACCGCATCGCAACGAGAATTGGCTATTTTCGCGATATTCAACTGGCTGGAAGTGTGGCCTGCATGCTGACTGGACCGAACTGACCGGATGTGTGGACTCCGAGCTGGACAAGAACGAAGGTGAAACGGCCAAACGGCGGTACTTCTACATCACCTTGCTGCGGGAACCGATCGCCCGGTATCTGTCCGAGTTTCGGCACGTTCAACGTGGTGCGACCTGGAAGAACTCCCGGCACTGGTGTCTGGGACGTACGGCTACACCGGAAGAGCTGCCACCGTGCTACAATGGTGAGTTTTTAACGATTTTGGCGCTTCAATACATATTTATAATCAATCTTCGATGTCATTAGTATTCGGCTGATGTCCCGCCATTGAAAGAATCTAGCGATGAATCTCAATGGAAGCATGTCGACGATAATGGTGTAGATTGTCAGATACGACCGGATGTGTATCATGAAATATTGCCAATTGTGATCGTCATGGCTGAGCGATTTTGATGGATTCCTTCTCCTCGTCTGATCATGATCGCTGAGCAGTGCAAACAATTGTAGCAATTAACACTTGGCTTATGGGAGCAAATGGTGACATTATGCCTAGTCAAGAATTGTATGAATGTGATTGCGCTGTGTTGGACTGATGAATGTTTCTCTGTGGCAGTGGAATAATAATATTCAACTTATCACCCATTATCCAGTACGTTGGGTCTGGGTCGTCGTGTGGAAGTGATAGTACGGGTGGATGAACTTAACGTTAATGTGCGCTTTCACAAGATGAATCCTAATGTGGCTATCCGATGTATGTATCCAGACCACGCATCGTGTTTGGGACAGAACCGTCATTGCAGAAAAGCCAAGAATGAGGATATACTCATGAATACACATAATCGTTGTTGACTTTAGAGGGCAAACATCGCAAAAGGAAAAAAAATACAGGCAAGAGACGCTGTTCTGTGTGCAGCTGTAAGAGAAATGATGTTTATCTTCATTATTGTGTTCCTACTTCATATCGCCTCCATCCCCGCATGTTCTTTTATCTGTGTCTTGCCATGGCGGGATGTGCGTTCTGAACTGTATGGCTGGGCTGTCACTTCAATTTGTATTTCACTGTAACTGACTTGTTCAAATTTGAATGATGAGTAATTCGGAAGAGGATTGAGGTCTTCGACAAAGTTAAACAAATATTTTTTTGTTTTATTCAGCGAGTTAAATTTATATTGAGCGTTTATGGAGAGTTCTAGTCATAATGTATTTGATTGTCATGATGGAGGCGAACCAGCCTAAGGCTGAAAGCCTCTTAAATAAAGCTAAATTAATTGATTGTCATTAGTGGGTGTAATTCTTTTGGGATACAAGAATGTTGTATTCCTACTGGGACTTAAAGCTGCTCTAAAGTGTTTTTGCTCATACAGTAATCCCTCCATTTATGCGGTGGGTGGTAACGTCCTCCCACTGCAATTTCTTGGCTGCCCTTCATCCAATTGAACTGATTTTCTGCAGGTAACTAGCTGATGGCTGACACTAACACATACAATCAGAGTAATAGGTTGAAGGACAGGCGAGAAACAGCGGTTTGTGGACGGTACCACCCACCACATATATGGTAGAATTACTGTACGTCCAACATTTTATTCCCATATTTTTTTAGAGAGGACATGTCCCATCTGAATAAACCTTTGACTGAACTGGAATCCAACCTCTCGAGCGTCATTTATGACTGAAGACGAATGCATAAAACCTGTGAAATTCAGCCCTGATGCACTTAATTTAACAAGCTTGTTCACGTGCAAAATTAAATTTTTTAAGTGTGTGTGTGGTACTTAACAATGAGCCCCTCCTATTTTGGACGGCACACTAACAAAATTTGTTTGATTATAAAATTTTGACTTTTAACGCTTTACTTCTGCAGTAGAACACTATTGGAAATATTAAGCCCAAAGTTTGGATTTTTGAATAAATCAACCCTTGAAAGAAAAAGAAAATTAATCGAAGCCTTGGTGATTCTTCCTAGCTAAATAGATTTAAAAGCTTTCCTTCTATAATTAAACCGTGGCGCCATAAAATGGTGCTCCACTTGAGTAATTTTTATAAGGAACACTATTATTTGAAATACTCGAATAATTAATTCTGTTCAACAAATTTCCGAGCTTCCCTTAGTTCAGTCGGTAAATGTGCAGCTACAAAGCAAGACCATGCTGGAGGCGACTGTCCAGTCTAGGAATTTTTCGGGTTGGAAAATTTCTCGACTTCCCTGGGCATTAGACTGGCCCACAAAAATAAAAGTTCTAATTTTCCACGAGCCAACCTCTAGATTTGTGCCTTTAGGTGAGCAAACCATTATCTGGAAGTTTTAGCTCATGTTGGGCTGGCGCTATTAGTTTGAATTTTTTATGGGTATTTTGGATAAAATACATGAAAAAAAGACACTCCTACACTCTATTGATCATAAAAAAGTTTCCTTATTCTCGATTTGATTCAGATTTTCAAAACGTGTAGTTCAAACAATGAGTAACAAATTTGCTGAAGGTTACATTATGAATCTGGATAGTTTAATTAAGATTTTCACTTTTGAATGTATATGAGCATTTCGTATATGAAAATTTCAACCAAAACCCCTATATAAACATTAATCCAAAAGAGCATTAAGACGGACTGATGTCAAAAACAGCTGAAACATTTAGAGAGTGGTTATCTCACCTACTGGCACGAGTCTGGATGTTGGCCTGTGGAACATATGAACCTTTATTTCTAGTGGTAATCTAGTTGATACATTGCATAAGCCGCCTGAATTTTGTTGCAAAACACGAACAAAAATCCCATATAGGGGAAATGTATGTAATGTCGGCCTAAGTGTCCCTAATTTGGGCCTATACATAAATTCAGCAATCGACTAATTTTTCAATAGCAACCACAAATATCCATTGGTACCGTTCCAATGACGCGTTCATCTAGATACAATTGATAAATAGCAGAATTTTAGCAATGGGCCCAATCTTAGATCCATAGGCCAACATTAGAGCCATTTCCCCTACATTCAAGAATGAATACCTCCAACTTGAATCGTGATGCTGTCTTCAGCAAAGTTGTTCCTTATAGTTTAAACCAGTTCTATGCACGAAAGAGTGAAGGAATATTATTTCTAAATTAATTTACACCTAAATCACCATATGAACTTTAGACCAAACGCGCCAGCTCGTGTTATATTCGAATGAGCTTAAATTTACAGAGAGTGGTTTTCTCCCCTAATGGCACAAATCTGGGGGTTGGCCGGTTGAAAAATGATAAAAAATCTCCCATATAAATGTGAGCCTACTGGGCATACACGGTAACTGCAAAATACCCAATAATTACTACAAAGTAAGTATTTTTGAGGTAAACTGGGACTACCCATTATTTATATTTAGCTGAATTTTTTCGAGATATCAACTAACAAACAAAATTTTTGCTGTGATCTCAGTAAAAAAAAATGCCGAGCTGGTCAGTGGTGCCAATCTCGGCAAAAAAAACTAGGCGTGCACTTTGGAATGAACTGAATCACTTCATAAAAGTTCGGAAGTCCCGAAGAGGAACTATATCAATTCAAAAATGTGATTTATTACTTTCTAAAGTGAGTCAGCACTTGCAAAAGTAATTCCATACTTTTCTGGAACAATTCAGTGATTCCGAATGTTTTTGAAATGATTCTTACTTACTTACTTAAGGGTCCTGTGCACCACTAGCGGTGCAAAGGGCCAACGTGAAAGACTTCCATCCTGGGCGGCTGCTCGCTTTTGCCTTGACTTGGGCCCAGGTCAGATTCCTATCGACTTGCTTAATTTCCTTATTGAGGCTCCGCCGCCATGAGCCCCTGGGTCTGCCTCTGCTGCGATGTCCTGCCAGATACCAATCCAGCGCTTGCTTGCAGATTTCGTTTCCGCCCCGTCGAATTTCTGTTACTATCGGCTTCTGATGACATCGATGATAGAGCTCGGCATTCGAGATCCAGTTGTGAGGCCACCAGGCACGAATTATATACCGCAGGCATCGGTTGATGAAGACCTGCAGCTTTTGAGTTTTCTCCGCTGATACACACCACGTCTCGCTGGCGTATAACAACCAGGGAATCAAAATGAAAGATTCAGATAAAGATAATGGCATTCTCATTTTGGTTACACTCATGATTAGTACAAATCCATAAATCACAATGGACAGTTCTGGAAACGATAATGCGATTATCATTTGTGTAACAGATCATGATCATATGAAATAGCGATAATCTCAGATCATCATCATCAGCTGTCGTCACTGAAAACTCCCCATTTAAGACAAGGCTAATCAACTACCCTATAATATGTGAATTTTTGGAATGAGGATGACGTATAGAGATCGAAAATCGATGTTTTCCGCCATTATGAAATCCAAGATGGTAGCCATCGATTTAAGAAAAACTGTCGAAAATTGATGTCCGCCACCATTTGAAAATCCAAGATTACCCTGCAATGTGGGTGTTTTCGGAACAGGGATGGCATGCAGATGTAGAAAATTCTGCCGCTATTTGGGAATCCAAGATGGCGGCTATTGATTTTAGAAACAACTTTTCCCTACAATGTGGGCATTTTAGAAAACGGGATGACGTGTAGATGTCAAAAATTGATGTCGGCCGCCATGTTGAATAGTTTATTTGTCAGTTCTATCTAAATCCAAAGGCCGCCAAATTGGATTCCAAACTGGCGGTTAACATCGATTTTCAACATCTATACATTATTCCAGTTCCAGAAATACCCATATTGTAGGGTATTTGAAAGTTTTTTTTTTCGAAACCAAAGGCCGAGATGACGGATTTCAAAATAGCGACCTACATTGATTTTCAAAATATATGTGTCATCCCGATTCCAAAAATATCCGTATTGTAGGGTATTTGACCTCTAGAACAACTTTTCCGAAGACAGCAAGTTCCTAGATTTTGAGATACATTACAAAGTGATTGTTATCATATCAGTAGATTTTCATTTTTGTTGCTGATCATGATGTGTAACACAAATGATAATCCATGATCTTACTGTACACTGATCATGATTCCGTTAGTACCCTAGCAACACACATGTCACTGAAAAATTGTGGTTACTTGTGTGCCACTTATTCCAGTCACAATCAAGTTGCAGCAGCTTATTTCGATCGAAGTGTGCTGCTTGGGTACTTACAGAAGTGAATTTGAGCTTTTCTGAAGTAATTCTTTTTTTTTTCAATAGTTTGTGTATAGCACATAAAACGTGTGAATTTTACTTTCAGAGGGTCACAATTAGCGATTTTAGC